AATCAAATGAAATGAAAAGAAATGAAAAAAAATGACAAAAATGAAAGAAGATCATGACATCAAAATGAAATGAAGGGAAATGATGAAAAGAAATGAAGAAGATCATGATAAGAGGTGACAGGAAATGAAATGAAGAAGAAAGATCAGGTGACAGGAAATGAAATGAAGAAGAATGGGATATAATCAGATGACAGGAAAAAATGAAGAAGAAAGGGAAGATGACAGGAAAAATGAAGAAGAAAGGGATATATCATGATCAGGAAATGAAATGAAGAAAGATCAGGTGACAGGAAATGAAATGAAGAAGAAATCATGATCAAATGAAAAAAAGAAGAAGATCCTGATGACAAGAAATGAAATGAAGAAAGATCATGATCAGGAAATGAAAAAGAAGAAAGGATATGGTCATGATGACAGGAAATGAAAAAGAAGAAAGATAATGATCAAAAGGAAATGAAGAAGAAGAATGATCAGGTGAAAGGAAATGAAGAAGATCATGATCAAAAGGAAATGAAAGGAAGAAGAGGGATATTCAGGTGACAGGAAATGAAAAAGAAGAAAGATAATGATGACAAAATGAAATGAAGAAGATCATGATATGGAAAGAAAATGAAATGAAGAAGAAAGGGATGATATAAAGACAGGAAATGAATGAAGAAAAAGGGAAATGAAATGAAGAAGATCAGGAATGAAATGAAATGAAGAAGAATCTTGATCAGGTGAGAGGAAATGAAATGAAGAAGAATGGGATATGAGGTCAGGAAATGAAATGAAGAAGAATCATAGTTCATGGACAAAATGAAATGAAGAAAGATATAAATCAGGTGACAGGAAATGAAATGAAGAATTTGGGATAGTTCAGGTGACAAAAATGAAATGAAGAAAAGATCATGACAGGAAATGAAATGAAGAAGAAAGGGATTTGATGACAGGAAATGAAATGAAGAAGAAAGATAAATGGTGACAGGAAATGAAATGAAGATCTATCAGGTGACAGGAAAAATGAAATGAAGAAGAAAGGGATCAGATGACAGGAAATGAAATGAAGAAGAAAGATCAGGAAATGAAATGAAGAAGATAGTCAGGTGACAGGAAATGAAATGAAGAAGAAAGGGATATCAGGTGACAGGAAATGAAATGAAGAAGATTGATCAAAATGAAATGAAGAAGATCATGATCAAAATGAAATGAAGAAGATCATGATCAAAATGAAATGAAGAAGATCATGATCAAAATGAAATGAAGAAGATCATGATCAAAATGAAATGAAGAAGATCATGATCAAAATGAAATGAAGAAGAAAGATCATGACAGGAAAATGAGGAAATGAAATCAGGAAATGAAATGAAGAAGAGGGATGATCAGGTGAAAGGAAATGAAGAAGAAGAATGGGATATAGTCAGGTGAGAAGAAAATGAAATGAAGAAGAAAGAAGATAAAAATGGTGACAAAATGAAATGAAGAAAATGATCAAAATCTGAAGTTTAATTTTGCAAGAAAAAAAATGGCAAACTTTTGAGAAATGTGAGTTTTTTGCTTATAGTATTTCTAAGAAGGGTATTCAACAGGCTGAGAATAAAATTTGAGCAATCAAAGAATTTAAGGAAACTAGTTCAACTAAAGAACTTTATAGTTTTCTTGGTCTAATAAATTATTTGGGTAAATTCATAAGGAATTTATCATCTGAAACAGAAGTACTTAGAAAATTGCTCAGAAGGGAGCTAAATGGGCATGGACTGACACAGAAAAGGAAGCTTTTATTGAACTAAAAAACATGGCTCATTTTAATCCAGACCATAAGACTATCTTAATTGTGAATACTGAACTAATAGGACTTGAGGTCATTCTATCCCAAAGACAAATGGATGATAGCATGCAACCTGTAGCTTATTCTAGTAGAACTATCACTCAACAAGAGAGCTGCTACAGTCAAACTGAAAGAGTGCATTAGCTGTTGTTTGGAGCTGTGAAAGACTCCATTTATACTAGTTTGGGTGTCATTTTAAAATACTGTCAGACTATGAATCCTTGAAAATTTTGTATTCAATATTCAGAATGGTCATTAACCCATATTTTAAGATGGGGATTAAGGTTACAGAGTTACTCCTTTATGATCAAACACATTCCTGGACACTTGAACCGTGCAGACATACTATCTATTAAACCAGTTCAAATTAATAAAGGAGATGCAAATAACAGTGATTCATTAGAAATGTATTTAAACCAAATAATTCCTTATACTATTCTGAAAAATGCATCTCTATCAGAAGTCACTCAGCATTCTCTAGCAGATACCACTATTCAAGAAATTTCTAGATGTGTAAAGAACAATGTGTGGCCAGAAACAAGCATAATAAAATATTATTCAGATATAAGGAATGAACTTACGTATAAATCCTTAGAGGAATTCACCTTGTCATTCCAAAAACTTTACAACAGCAAATACTGAAACTAGCTCATGAAACTCACAAAAGGTATTACAAAGACTAAAGCTTTACTACATTAAAATGTATGATGGTCAGATATTGACAATGATATAGAAAAATGATGAGGAATTACTTGCCATGCTTGAGTGTTGATGGCCAAACACTTCAGAACCTATGAAATCAAAAACCATAGGACAATTGTGGGAAACGGCTCATATCGATATATATGGGTCATTCCAACAAGTGAAAGTATTTTAGGTATATTAAATTGTCTAAATCAGACTTTTTCTAGATTTGGATACCCTGAAGTCATTGTTACAGATAATGCACCCAACTTAAATAGTATAGAGATAAACTAATTTTGCAAGCAAAATGGTATTTGGCACCACCAATACCCTTCACCCTCAAGGAAATTCTGAGATAGAAAGATTTTATAGTATGCTCAGTAAAGCCATTAAATTATTGCATACTGAAGCACAAAACTGGAGAACACAAATTTTCCAATTTTTACTTGCATATTGTAATATGCCGCATATGTCTACTCAGGTATCTCCAACTAAACTACTTTTTGATTGACCTCTGTGAAACAAGATCCCTACTATTACTACCGAGACTGTTAAAAAAAATCAGCATAAACAGGTAAAATACACTGATGATAAACACAAGCATAAATCAATACTTTAATCAAAAAAATAAAGCAAAACAGTATTATATTTTACAAGGGAACCATGTGCTCTTCTGGGGGTGGGGATGGGAGGAAAAAACAATAAATTTCCCACACTATTTTCTATTCAACCTTACACCGTTATTGACAGAAAAGGGTCAGTCGTAACTGCTCAGAAGCTGGGTGTGTAAACTTAGCATTTAAACAATGTGAAAAAAAATTCCAAATTTCAAGGTTGACTGATTTTGATAACGAATATAACAGTCTAAGCTTGAAAGGACAGAATGACTTTTCTGGATTCGCAAACAGTAGTGAACAACAATTGTGTCACTTCACCAGAAATAGAAATCAATGTTCACTGTTGTGTTGTCGGGGTTATATTATGTAAAGTAAAACAAAAAAAAAAATAGTTTTCTTAAATCTTCCCCACAAAATATTTTGGTCTATAGAAGGAGGTTATTGGCTCTTGTGGAGAGGAGAGAGGAGAAACAAAAAAGCTGTGATAATAACAAAGAAGATGAGGATATTAGTCCGAGTGTAAATATTAATATATATTAAAACATGTACTTGATATTGTAGATCACAAAGTCACAGCATTTGCTGATCTTCATTATTAATGCAATAAAACAGCAATGATGCAAAATTTATGTTATTACCAAAACTTCTTAATAAATCATGGATTAAAAATATTAATTTAGGCCACCTCTGACATATCTAAAAATAAGAGAATGCAGATATCCCCCAGGGCACTGTTCTTGGGTCCATGCTGTTTCTGATATTCATCAGTTATCTCCTTGATGTAACCAGTTCCCAACTAGCTATTTATGCAGAAGAAACTACCATTTAATCCTTAGTAGCAAATCCAATAGATCTGACAACTACTTCTGAAAAGGACCTCCAACCAGTGGTTAACTGGGGCTAGAAATGGCTTGTAAATGTCATTGCCTACAAAAACAAAACTGCTTTCATGTAATCACCACAGAGAACCTTTTCTGCCAACCATCAGGATGGCTGGTACTTAAACTCCAGAAGAGCCACACTCTATGCCTTCTTGGTCTCATGTTTTCCACTGACATGAATTGGAGCAACTATATCAAGTCAATTGCTATGTCTGCTGCAAGGAAGGTTTGTCAAAAAATTATTCTCATCAGAATCCATCTTGCACATTTAAAATCTACCATTCGTTCATGTATTGATTACTGCTGCCACATATGGTCTAGTGCTCCTATTGTGCATCTCTAGATTCTTGACAAAGGCTAGAGAAAGGTTTGCAATATAATTGATCCTGGTCAGGCATCTCAACTCCAGTCAATTTCTCACCAATGTGACATGGCTTTCATCTGTCTGTTCTACAAATATTTTCCTGGCAACTGCTTAGACAAGCTTTTTTTTTCTCGTGTCCCGAGTTAATGAATTTAAGCATGCTACTAGATTAGCAAACAGGTTTCACTGTTAAACTAGCAAGATGCAACAGCCACTTCTACTTTAACAGTTTTTTTTCCCCTACCCACTTGTAGATCTCCCTTCTGATTTCTTGCTTCCCTGATAACTATAATCTTCAAAAATTCAAATGCAATGTCAGTCACCATCTTCTGTCTTCTTGAACTCTTTTCCTTTTTGTGTCCTTTCCTCAATCCTCCTCATTTTCAATCTCTTTCACTCTTGCTCCCTGTAACCCCTGCATTTCAGTGGCATTGTCACCTTCCTTGGGGTGAAATGATTAAAAAGTTTTTCTAGTCTTATAAAAAGTGATAGTACGTTGCCACAGCAAAAAAGTTCAGCTATGGTTCTTCTTTCTGGGTGAGGCTTACAACTTTTTTCAACAACCTTAGTATCAGTGATATCAGAGTAAGTTGTGTTTGTGATCTATATAAAAAATTAAAAAAAATTTTTTTTTTTTTTTAAATCACTCACTGTCGCCGCCTGCGGCTTTCTGACTGCTCCAAAAGTTGACTCAGGTAAGCATTCCGTTTGCGCAACTCCTGGTAGGCATGTCTTAATTTACGCACCTCTTCTTCCAAGAAAATGATCCGGAGTTCCTCGAGTTTGTCATCTAGTTCAAGGGAAAAAATACTTTGAACAATGCCACATGAATAACAAGATACTGACACGCTAAAAGACGGAGATTCCGAAAAAGAAAAAAATTTAAACCAAATAAAATGATCAATCCATATCTTCCTAGATATAATAATGTATAATAGTATAATAATATATATATATATATAATTTTAGATGGTAAAACTTTTCACCTGAAATCAAGAAAATACAATCTGAGTTCTCTTTTTACTCACTCAGTATCATTTCATCAAGTAAATTTTGAGGTAAGGAATTATTTCTAAGAATTCATCACCTCAAAAACCTAACCTATATAAAAATAATGTCGTTTATGAATTTGTATGTCCTTTGGGAGATTGTATCTCCAATCAACAAACATTAAATTCTTACATTGGCCACACATGTATCACGTCATTTGTCAAAATTCAGTGCAATTTGCACATATATAGATGAACCTCTAGCAAACAAAATGATGTTAATATTAGATGAATTGTAATATATAACAGCCACATTTTATACAGGACACCTTGCAAAGAAAACTTCAAATTCTGGAGGCTGTTGTAATAAAAGTGATGCAGCCAACATCTCCTTTAATATATAATAAAAAGAAAAACAAAAAAAAAGCACACACAAAAATTTCAGTTTGACTCTTTATATGATGTCACCTTGAAATTGATTCCATCAAACATAAGGACACCAGAATTAAAAGGCTATTGCATAACTACACACTGAACAATCCTTGAAAATGAATGTAGTAACATTCAAAAGTACCCCAGGGGAGGGGGGAATAATCTAAAATAAAAGTTAATATGTATTTTGGCAAATTTAGCAACAACACAAAACAACATATTTGGAAATTTGAAAAATCATAGTTAAAAATTTACAAAAGTTCTTTGTCAAATTTTCTTTTGTTTATTTTCTCCATTTTGAACCATTTTCCTAGTTTCCTTTCTGTTCTTTTATGTGTAGTGTCTCTTTAGGAAGTAAGTAATCATAGCACTCCACAACTTCCAGCACTTGTAGCTATCATCAATGTTTGCTTGTTTTACTGTCCTTCTTACTCTCTGATCTGACATCCATTTACACCAACTTCTTTGGTAGGTTACTTGCTGTTTAACACTGTCCTTCTTACCTTCAATATATTGTATAACTGTCAAATTCTCCAAGCAATCTTTTCTCATTGTGTCCCAAAAATTTTAACTGTCTTTTTATGATTCTATGTATAAGGGTCCTATTAGGTCCCACTTTCCTTAAAATTTTCTTGTTCCTTTTACACACCATCCATGGTATTCTCAGCAGTCTTCTGCAGAACCACATTTCTGTTGGCTCAAGTCTCCACTTCATTTGTAAGGAAATTGTTCAGCATATACAAGAACTGATATTACATAGCAGTTAAGCATTTGTTTCTTTGTTCCTAACAAATTTTTCTTTTTTCTTAATACTTTGCTTAGTTTATTGGAAGGCATCTTTCGCTATTTCAATGGATTTTTGAATTTCCCTGTAATATTTTCGGTAACAGATTGTTAAATTTCTGTACCTGTTTGATTTTGATGCCTCCATTTTGTAACTCCCATCTTGGGTTGTTCCTCTTGCTGACAACCATGTATTCCATAGTCTTAAAATTGATAGTTAGTTTTTTTCCCTGCTTTCCTTTTTTGTCTCTTTTCTGTTGAGGAATCCTGCAGTTCAGTTACATAACAGTTTAATACTCTTTGTTTTTAATGAAATTTTCCTGTGTCACATTTTCTGACATCTGTTAAAACACTTCTCAAATAGTTAAATTTCTGTACTTATTTATTTGACATCTCCAATTTGTAGCTAACATCTTGGGTTGTGCCTTTTGCTAACAGCCATACATTCTGTCTTCTTACAATTAATATTTAATCTTTTCTACCTACTTTCCATTACTACCTTGCAGTTTTCTTTCTGTGTTTGCAATCAACACTGTGTTCATTGCATTGTTAAGATTGTGCCTAGCAATAGAAAATCCTGGTAGTTCTGTTAGGATTATTTTGCTGCATGTTAAATAAATCTGGTGGGTATAAGAGAGCAGTGATTGAGTCATATTAGTACATGAAAGTAGCTAGCAACTTCAGGTATTGAGAGACTTAATTCTGAATGAAGAAGTTGAGGTGTTGATGGAAAAAAAGTCTGGTTTAAAAAATATTAATTTAAATCTATAAAATATTTATAAGGAGGGTCTAAAGAAGAGTTTGAACTCAAATTAAACTAAGTCAAATTTAGAAAGATTCAGCATAACTGACACTCCCGGTCCAATTCCATAACCTCAAAGAAGTTGGAAAGACATGATTAATGAATTTACCAAAAATTCACAGAATTTTCAGATAACTTCAGTGTTTGTTTGTTTGTTTAGCAACCTATCAGGCATATTCACATTGACTTCAATGAAAAATTTAGAAACTTTGAGATCCAGGCCAAAACTGAAAAGCTCTTTTGGCCATCTGGGTTATTTAACAAGGAGGGTTTTGGTTTGAGATGCTAATTAATCATACATATTTGGAACTAAAGTATACATAAACAAAGTATACACACAACAAGAATCATATTTATCAAGAGATCATAAGAAAATGTATCTCAAAGTCAAATACTTGTGGAAAAAACTGGAAGACCCTCTCATGCACCTCATGTATTCAAAAAAATTTGCTGTAGAAGTTATTCACTACTAACACATTAGCACTTATGCATTTCTTAACAGACATCTCTTAGTGCCTCAAGGGTAGAAAAGGAGCATTGGAATGAAACAGCCTCATAGCTTTTTTACAATTTCTAAATTTCACCTTTACATAAATTGTTGATAATTTTTCAACAGCTCTATTTCTTCTGTTGGCAAGATTAGACCTTTCCCAGCAAAATCACCCAAAGTTCAAGAAAAAGTATGATTGAAGTATCACTCAGATTGACAAAAGCCATGGACTGTCATTTCTGGCAGGTACACAACAAACAAAATCCTTTAGGTGAAACAAATTCTAGTGAAAGAAACAAATCTGTGAAACTGATTGCATCATGCCAAGTTACCTTCACTGAAGTGTTAGCACCTCTGGTATGATATCCATAACTGAGACTGGTGTGTTGTATTTGGTGACCAGCATCAGTATGGGTCGTGCCTGGTGGCCTCAGCCAGGGATTGGGTTATAGTGAGAAGATACATCCTTGTCTTACACCCCTTTCTATTTTTGTGTATTTATTAATTTCATTTTCTATCTGTAAGCAAGCAGTTTGCTCTCAGTAATATATTCTGGATTATACTAACATTTTCCCCAAATAAATCATTTTCCTAGCAAATCTTTGTGCCGTACCTTATCTAATGCATTTGGATAACCTATAAAAAATAAATGTACATCTTTCTGCATTTGCGTTGTTCTAGCTGATATGATTCTGATCATAAATGTTGCATTTCTTGTTCCAGTGTCTTTAATAAAGCCACACTGTTCTTGTCCTATTTCCTGTCTGGTTCTGCTATGTGCTCTAATTCATTAGAATTCAGATGCTTAGAAGCTAAGTGATGGGGTTCATTAAGCTGATTGACAAAGGGAGTTTGCATTCATCTATGCCTAGCTTCATAGGTAGCTCTATGATGATGACTTTTCAATGGTCTTCTGGTATATTCCCATTGTTGTATATTTAATTTATTATTACTTGTCAATACCAAAATCATCTAAGGCTAATAGCATCTTTATTACAATCCCATCTAGTTTTTGCACTTTGTTCCTGTTCACCTTAGCTGGTGCCAATTTTACCTCAGACTTTAATATTTCAGATCCTTCCATGTTTTTGTGTACTGTAAATTTCCTTCTTTCATCACAAAAGAGTTATCCAACATTTGTTCCATCTTTGAAGTATTTTTCATTTTCTATTATAAGCATTACCTTTTTGATTTTATGCATCCTGCCCAGGAGAAAGTTTCTTGTCCTGTTATTTCTTCTTTTTTTATTCTTTCTATCTCTACACACTTTTTGTTGAGTCATTCCTTATTTCCTTCCTATGCATCTGTTTCTAATGATTCTGTCCACTGTTTTCTGTACCATTCCTTGGTATTGTTTGCTGTCTCTTTTTTTTATCATGTCAAGAAATCTATCTATCATTTACTTCTTTTTTTTTCCCTGTTTCACTTTCTTAGGAATGATCTTGTTTGCTGATATCACTAGCACTTCTCTTAATGCATTCCATTTTGAATTCCCAGTCCAGTCTAAATTATTATATTTGCTTTGAGCTGTCTGCAAACATCTTTGCAATGTGGGTCATTCAAGTATCTTTTGTATTGTAATTTAAGCAGTGCTTCATAAGTTTGCTCAGCTTTAAGACTTTTTTGTGCTATGACAGTTTCATTTCTTTTCATATATCAGGCCTTCACAGATGTAATGTTTTACAAAGTATTAGGTCTACATGCACCAATTTTTGTTGCTATACATTACTTTTTATTAGTTATGAAATAGATATATTATATATACACAAAAAAAAAATTGACGAATTCTCTTATTGGTTGAGTATCTGCCAATGAAGAGAGATGGAAAAGGCCGCAGTACCAGAATCAAACACTAAAGGAGCCAAACACTGGATCACGATGAGCAGGGCATGAACAAGACTTCTACGCAGGAACACTACACATACAGGACAAACGCAGACAAGACACCAGAAACACAAACAAGGATGAATGAATTTCAAACAACGCTGGGTAATGTGGACAGAAATCCTTGGTAACACATGACAATCACATTATACAGACCAAACGATAGGTTGCCGGGATGCTTCTTTTCAGAAAATGTGCCTGCTTTTATGAAGCCTAAAATTTTAACTGTTGGCTAGCAAAAGGAATCATTTGCATTGCTAACATCGCTCAGCTCAAAGTCTGAACTATTTCATGGGGAAGCTGGTAGACACTCTCTTCATAACCACATGTCCTGGGGTTTGCATTGGCTCTTTTCCTGCAGGACAACCATTTGCTGTCTTTTGGCAGAGACAGCACACTAAACATTGTCTCTTTGACTGATGGGGGCAGGTATTGTTATCAGTAGCAGTAAGCAGCTCTATCTACATTTTGTTTCCACCACAGAAATATACACAAAATGCGAAATACACAAAAGAAAAGAGAAATACACAAAACTTTTTAAAACAATAAATATTGCCAAGGAGTTAAAATAATAGCAGTGTTAAGAGAAAAACCATCCTATTGACACTTATTTTGTGGGCATGAAGGTTCAAGATTGTTCACATTTCTTTAGGCAAAATGCTTTTATTGCATTGGCTTTACTTTGACAGCTGCCCTCCTGCACAGAAAGGAGAGATGTACAATGTGGTAGGTACATCCATACTTCTATTGCAAAAATATTGTAGATGAAGCAAATATAGGACAATGAATGAAAAAAAAAAAATCTCCATTGTCCTCTTTCACTCATGACATCACACCCATCAGAAGCATTTTAACAGTAACCCTTTACTTTGAGTCATTCTGGGACTTTGTACTGGGTAAACTTACCATTCATCAGTGCATCGAATATTGCTGCCATATCTGGTCTGGTGCTTTTGTTTTATATTTCAATATTCTTAACAAAATCCAAAAAATCAGCAACATTATCAGTCCTGACACAGCATCTCGGCTTCAGTTCCATGTGCCTCTACTATAAATATTTTCATCGTAATTATTCTGATAAGCTTTCTTCTTTGGTACCTTGTCTTCATGAATTTAAGTGCAGTAATAGATTGGCAGTTAGGTCTCACAATTTCCCTGTTGAAATTGCTAGTTGTAACCATAAGTTCTATGTTAATAGTTTCTTCTCCTACCCTCATGATTATGAAACTCTCTGCCGGCTTTCTGTTTTACTGTCAACTATGATCTTCAAACATTTGAATCCTGTTCTTTTATTGTCCCCTCTGTTATTTTCACTCAATAACCTCTTGCAACCTAGTGGCTTTTATTGCCTTACTTGGGATAAAATGATTTCATATTCATTTTTTTCAACAACAAACTCTCTTGCAAGGGCATTTCCCAACTCTTGATGACCAGTTCATTGCTCTATCAGAGTCCAACATAGAAATGTTGAAGATTGTTCCTTACCTTGAGAAGGTGTTTTTGTTGATGCATTCGTGATGCTTTTTGACTTCAGTGATAGAGTTGAAAGTTCTGTCCATAGGAAAACAATAAAAAAAAAAAAAAAAAAAGAAAATCAATAAAGGAAAAATAAATCTTTGAAATTCATGATAAAAATTACATACAAATTTATTATTTGGAAACAAACATTTTTGAAAGGCACTGTTGGATTATGAAAACCACAGGCAGTGTGAGAATTGAAAGAATCTCCCTCTTTCCTTGGGGATGTTAATAGTGAAAAGATGTCTTCTTCTCATTCCTGTCAGCATGTAAGTACCTCAAAGACAGATACTGATGGTTGCTGAGAACTCTTCATATTTAATTTCATTTCTCATTTTTCCTTTTGTAATAAGTCTGTTTAATATATTTATTAATACTTGTTTGTTTAATTCATAAGTCCGCCAACATTGTTTGTGGGACAAATGTTTCAGGAGCCCATAAATATTTACTAAAACTATGCACACACCTTGCAACAAAACTGATGATTTTTGCAACAGAACCCTTATCAGAAAATACAAACTAAAATCTACAACTTTATTCTCACATCACCAATGGACATATTTTTTTTTGTTGAAAAGAATAAAGAAAGAAAGATCATATAGTTCCCAACCTGGTATCTACATCCATTTACTCCTGTCTTGATAGTAAGTCTGATCAGTTCGATAAGGTCAAATTGGCAGCTGATAAAAAAAAATAACCTAATCTGTTGTTAACTAGGGCAAAGATTGGCTTGTTAATACCTCTAAAATGAAACTGCTCTTTTTTAATCATCTGAGAGAACCTTTTTTGCCTTCCATCACCATGGCCGATGCTAACCTCCAGGAGAGTGACTCAGTGTGCCTTTTGGGGCTAACATTCTCAGATGATATGAAGTGGAAAGACTACATTGAATTCATTGCTAGGTCTGCTGCTAAGAAAGTCTGGTCACTATGTCATGCTAACAATATTTCTCTCCAGAATCTATCCTACATATCTTAAGTTTACCATTTGTCCATGCTTTGAATATTGCTGCCACATATGATTTGGTGCTCCTGTTTTATATTTAGAGATTCTTGATAAAATCCAAAGACTAATCAGCAATGTTATTGATCCTGATCCGACATCTTGGTTTCAGTCTCTTTCCCACTGCTGTGAAGTTGCTTCCCTGTGCCTTTTTCTATAAATACTTTCATGGTAATTGTTCAGATGAACTCTTCCCTATCATACGTAGACTTCATGAATTTAAGTGCAGTACTAGAATAGCAGCAAAGTTTCATCAATTTACGGTTGAAATGGCTAGATGTAACCATAAGTTCTATGCTGACAGTTTATTTTCTTGCCTGTGGAACTTTCTTCCAGCTCCATGCTTTCCAGCCAACTTTGACCTTCAAAATTTTTAAATGCAATGTCAATTGTTATCTACTGTCTTCTTGATTACTCTTCTATTGTTCTTGCTCCATAATAATGTTTCTGTTTTTTCTCATTCTTTCATACTCGGTAACCCTTTGTATCTTAGTGGCCTTACTGCCTTACATAGTGGTGAAATGATTAAAAATTTATAAAAAAAGCAATAATTAGAAGCTATAAATTGAATTTGAAGAAAACTTCAAAAAGATTTGAACCTGAAACAAACTCAAGTTGAATTTGTTAAGATTTAGTAACATTTCATATTTCCTAACCTACCCAATTGCTTCCAGTACAATTTGACAAGAATTATGGTCTTCTAAAGTTTTCTAAATTCCATAGTAGAATTCCTGATGTTTATTTAAAGCACTATTAAGCACCCAACTCTCTATATTTTTACTAAAAGTTCAGTACACCTGGGTTTTGGTCTGACAGGATTTCAAGGAGAGCCATTTGTTGTTATTAGACAAAAAAAGGTCATTAATATTTTATCAAAAATATGCAATAAATCAATGCCAGTGGTGTCCAAATTTTCTTATATAAATGCAACCAGAATGAGACAGTAGAGACAGAGACCAGACAATAAGATAGGATGTTATAAACCTCCCCTCCCCAGTTGATGTTACTGTTTCTACCACTAAATAATTTGTAGACATGAGACCAATAGACAAAAGAGTGCTTAGACTGAGGTCTCGCAAATGTGTAAGAATTACTGCTAGAATAATATTCCATCCAAAAGACGTCAACCAGGCTATATAGATTAATAATTCTTTACTTCTTATGTAGTTTTAACTTCTTCAATTCATTTTTATTAAACCCATTTTTAGTTATCAACAGAGTTTGTTAGTTTGTGCTGTGAAATTGGTTTTCACTAGAGACAAAGAAGTTACCATGGCTGTGAAAATTTCACATCAGAAATCTTTGCAGAATCGCAACAACCACTGGGTTGGTTGGTTTGCTTAATGGCATATCAACTCCTTATGGGTCAATTAATGCTGAAATTTAATTTTCTTGTGTACTTTGGTAATTTTTTTTTAAACCTTATTGGTAGTTATTTTTTTTCCTATGAAAATAACTTGCTGGTATTTTCCTATAAAAATTTATTTTTATATTTTCATGTTTTGACCCTAGTTTGTGAGTTTACTATTTGCACATAGCTGGGACCCTAACAGGTGCGACCTACCCCAGGTCAGAGTGGATCTGGGAACAACAGTAATTAAAAGGTGGTTCCACACTCCTCAAAAACACCAATCTCCTGATCTTGCTGCCGGATGTAGTTTATTGTCATACCCAGGATGAGATGTCAACCTGCAAGGGTCATGAAATCCCCCCCCCCACCCGCCCAAGAGATGACACCAAGAATGCTCTGTTTTTGGTAGGGCTGGGATAGTAAACGACAGATCAACAAAAAAAGAGTGAAAGGCCAACAGGCTACAGTCATTTTCTTTCAAAAGAGCACTTGTTATCAACCTTCACAGAATAATTTCATTACTCTGTTTTTATATTTTCAAAACAAAAACTGATAAGCATTTTATCCTCTGTGAATCTCAAGTACATCTGTTAAAAAAATTAAGGGCTTAAGAGATTTACAAAATTTATCAAGTGCAAAATACAAGTTGTCATTTAATAATTGTTAAGAAAATCTCTCCTAATCCAGTGGACCTACATAGTTGTTAATGTGCACCCTTAACATAAGAGGTATAGAATGGGGAAATGCTTACCTTAAATTGGCTATGTGCCACTTGACTCAAACAGGTCTTATAATTGTTTCTTACTTATATCCATATTTGATGAAAAAAACTTAAATTATTTCACTTCAAAGGTTATTATAAAAATAATAAAAATGCATTATATATATATGCAAAAGCATTTTATAAAGTACATCACAAAGAACTGTTAGGTAAGCTTAACATATCTGGGAAGGATATTAGACTAATCCAGAATGTATACTGGCAACAAACTGCCTGTATACAGATAGAGAATTAATTTGGTAAATATACAAAACCAGAAAGAGGTCGACAACAAGGATGCGACTTCTTACCAGACATATTCAACCTTTACAGTAGCATAATAGTGGTGATATAGCAGAAAATCTAACTAGATCCATTTTCATAGCACTACTTAAGAAACCCAGTGCAAACGAATGTGAACTCCATTGGACAATCAGTCTAGTAGTGTACCATATAACAAAATGAATAGTGTGTTTGATTACAAATGGTGATTCGCTCCCTTTTGTTGAGATAATCATGAGAATCATGTGACGGCCTGTGAATGATGTCAAATGATGTAGAGCACAGAGAAGAAGGACGTCACTTGTCTACAGTGGTAGACCTAACCTGGTTTGGAGAGAAACCGCTGTAACTCCAGTTTTCCCTTCGGGAAATATTACAAGTAAGGTTCCCTTTCTTACACACCATTTCTTGTTGCATAAGTGGGACATGTGTATAGTTGTACATATCTAATTTTGTGTACAACGTCGCATTATAAACCTCTCAAGAACCAAGCTTATTATTCTTTTTCCATTCAGCTATTCAGAAATAGGACAAGAGAAGTGTGGGTTCGTTTAAAGACACTGAAACAAGCAATTCAATATTTATGCTCAGAATGATATCAGAAAAATCAATAAAAACGTAAAAAGATATTATGTTTTATAGGTTATGCAAAAGCTTTTGATAAAGTACACTATAAAGAATGGTTGGAACTGCGAGGTAATCTTGACATATTTGGGAAAGATAATAGAATAATCCAGAACCTATACTGGCAGCAAATCACATACAGATAGAAAGGTGAATTTAGTAAATGTGCAGAAATAGAAAGAGGTAGCAGACAAGGACATGACTTCTCACCAGTTTAGCAGCATATCAACCTCTATGGGTTATTTAATGCTGAAATCTAAATATTTTAAACGCAATTTTATGGCTTCAAATTAATTTTGAATGCAACAGCATGCTGTCAAAGAGAGATAAAATGTATTGTTCGTCATTTTTCTATAAAATGTAAATTGCTGCGTTTTACTACAAAAATACACTTTCACACTTCCATAGTATTTTGTTTTTGCTTGAGGGTTCACTATTTACTCATAGCTGGGACCCTAACAGGTGCTACCACCCCAAGTTAGGGTGGACCTGGGAACAGCAGCAAGTTCCATGCTCCTGAAAACTTCCAATCTCATAATCAGAGGCCTTGTTACTGGATGTAGTTTATTGTCGAAGGCAAGCAATACAGTGGAAAACAATGCATATCTAGTAAATTAAGTAAATTCATGGCTGAGCAAGCTTTAGGAGAGATAAAAAGACAAAATACAGTAGGAGCTACAATGGACAGGAAATTGTGGAGAGCCATGACCGCCAATGTCCTGAAGGGACATGGCACATAAAAGAAGAAGAAGACTGCCTGGGAGGTAGCTGTTGGAGAATGATTTACCCACTTGTTCACACACTTATTCATTCAAACATTGCTGCCAGGTGAAAAGGATATTTTTGTCAAGATATTTGGCATAGAAGAAATACAAGCTCGGATTAAGAGAGATAGCAAAAAGACAAATATTGTTAAGAACTCTAAAAGACAGATGAATATCAAGAAAGCTGTTAAGTATTATTGTTTAACAATGTAGTAACTGAGATTGACTTATATGGTAGATACAAAGTGATATAGGAAAGTTCCCAAATACTAATATGCTGAAATTGTGCCATCCAGGAGAAGTATATCTAGATTGGTATATAGACTACTGAGTCAGTCTGCCAAAAGGCATCTATGCTATCTCCTCATGTTTAGTTATTACACAAGATTTTATGATGCTGTGTTGAAACAGCTCTGCAATCTTAACAATGGTTGACAGATTTGAGCCACATTTTTGCATGAAGCTTGGCTAATCTATCAAGATTATGTGTGTTTCAAGGATGGTTGAATATATAGGAGATAAGGAAATTGAACATGTAATAGGCTGTGCTAGAGATAGTTTTGCACAACAATGCAAATTACTACAAAACCAAAACATTAGCCTGAAAACTCGAGTCATGTTCTTAAATGGCCTTGTCAGATCAAGACCTCATATGGATATCATGCATGGCACCAAACCCATTAAGAAATATCTGAATTATCAGCTGTATACAACTGCTTCCTAAGATCAATTGTGAATAAAGACTTTGAGCAAGTAAAGCCTGAGGGTCTTGGCAAAGATCATACTTTGGACATCATGGATTGGTGTTACAGATTCACAAAGAACTGTACCATCTGTTATTTAACAGAAACCACATCACTTGAGGACTACCAACAGCAGCAATAACTAAAATGGATAGCACATGTAACTTGAAGAGAAAAGAATGACATAATCAAGAAGTTGACATTCTACACCACTTCAAATGGAAGGTTCGGAAGGAAACCCCCATCAATACTGGGAAAAGTGGTAACAGAGAATTTCTTTAAATTTTTCCATCACAAAGACTTGCAATTTTTAAATAACAACAAAAGAAGTTTTGGAAAAAAATTCACATAAAGAAATCTTGCCATTATTTTAGTGCCAAATGTTCCAAGAAATAGGACTCAAACCTTTCAAAAACAGAAACTATGATCTGGAATTGGAATGAAAGTAGGGATGACACCTACCCCGAATCCATCATAAAAATTCAGGATATGGAATTAGTAAATACTAAACACTTCAGATACCTCGGACTATGGATCAGCTATAATAAATTATGTATAGGAGAAAAAGAAATTGAACACAGAATAGGCTGTGCAAGAAGTAGATTCACCCAACATCATAAATTGCTACGAAACCAAAACATCAATCTGAAAACTCGAGTCATGTTCTTAAATAGCCTCATCAGATTGAGACTTTCATGGGGACGTCTTGCATGGTGCCAAACCATTCAGAAATATCTAAACTGTCAGCTGTATACAACTGTTTTCTAAGATCAATGGTTAAAAATGAAGCCTGTGGGTTTTGGTGAAAACCATCCTTCCTCGAACAGTATATTCTGTCATCTTAAAATTGGTAGTCAGACCTTTCTCCTTGCTTTTCTTTTTTGTCTCTGTTCTGTCTAGGAGATCTGCAGTTGAGTTACATCACAGGTTAGCACTCTTTTCTTTGTTTTAAATGAAATTTTCCTGTTTCTTAGTACTTTGCTTAACTTTCAAAAGGCATATTTCACTATTCTAATGCACCTTCAGACATCTGCATCACATTTTTTATAAACTGTTAAAACATTTTTCAGATAGTTAAATTTCTGTAATCGCTTTATTTTGACATCTCCAATTTGTAGTTAACATGTTGGGTTGTCTTTTTTGCTAATAGCCATACATTCTGTTTTCTTACAATAGATAGTCCTTTCTTCTTGCTTTTCTTTACCACCAAGTCTAGAAGTATCTACCTTTTTCTCACTTCTGACTCAATGGTCAAAATTGGTTTATTAGTGTTTCTTTATTAATACACATTGAGACAGTGATACAATCATCTGAAGAAAGAATTGTGCTTTCATGCATTGTCAAAGCACTTGATCCTGAATTCCTGATATCAAATGATTATTAGTAACACTAACACTTACCTTTCTCAAGTTTAGAGTCTGGCATAATGAGATCTTCTTGATCCAGACGGCCAGAGCTTGTCCGCTCAGTGCCTGGCCTTCCAGACACAATGTCACTTGCAATGGCTTCTTCTTCATCTGCATGCACTGTGCTTTCTTCCCCATTGCTGTCCTCCTCTTTCCGTGAAGGAGAATTTGCCTCACTTTTCTGTTGTGCCATCACAATCTTAAAATTCAGATCTGATAATAAAGCAAAAGTAAAATTTAAAAAAAAGAAAGAAAGAAGAAAGCAAGGGAGAGTTTTAGGTTTTGGCTGAAATTCCTTTGCAATTTTTTATTTTTATTATCGATACCAGGGTTTCACAACTTTTTTTTTTTTTACTTCAGGGCACACTTGTACGGTACGAAAAGGTGACAGGGGCCAAGATTAACCGTGACAAGTCGTCCGGCTTGCGGTTAGGTGCCTGGAAGGGGGTCGATCTTCCAGGGCCCTTCGGTTGGACGGATAGTCCTGTCCGCATTCTTAGAATGTGGTTTGGACCCTACCTCCAGCTGGAGAAAAATTGGTCTGAAGTACAAGCAAAAGTCAATGCGGCCGGTCAGACTTAGCGTCGACAGAGGTTGTCCGTAAAGGACAGGGCGGAGACGTGTGCCACTTACATTTTCCCGATTATCCTTTATCAATTGTCCGTACTTCCTCTCTGTGACCACCATAGGAAGCCGCTCCAGTGCTCGCTATCCTCCATTTTATGGAGGGGACGCGGGAATCGAGACAACAGATGAGTCTGTATGCAACGTCTGTGTCATGGGGAGCTGGGAATGCCACACTTGGCGAGCCACAAACTTGCCTCGAGGTTGACTTTCTTTTGCCACGCATTGACAGGAGATTTGATTATAGCGGGGATTGTTAGGGACGTATTCCCTTTCCTTACTATCAGTCCCCGCATCTTGTGGGTTGAGCACCATCGCAAACCCTGGGATCAATTGGATTTCCTTCACGAGTGTCGGTCGGCCTTGTTGGCCATTCCTTGGTCCAGTGACCTTTCACAGTCTAGGAAGGTCTTCTATTGTCTTCTAGTGGAGGGGGTTGCAAAGGATTATTTACGTGAGCGGCTCGACTTGGAGGAGGAGGAGTTTTGCTCTTTCTGGTCTTGGACATCAGTGGCAGATTATCTCAGTAATTCTGAGTTTTCTCTTACCTGGGGATTGGCTTAGAATCGGCTGCCTCTCAATGACAAGGTTTTCATATGGGGCTTGGCAGATTTGCCAGACTGTGAATGGTGTGGCCTTGGTCTGGAAGAAACGGCGGCTTTGCACGCCTTCTACCATTGTCCCCGGGCTTGCCTCTTATGGGACCATATCAGCGAGTTGACGGCTTGTCTCGCTCCCGAAAAGCTTGTGCTCACTGATCGCGCATACACGTGTGACAATGTGTTGTCCCCATATTCTGGGGTGAAACGAATGGTGTTTCTGACGCTGTTGGCCACGGCCTGAATGGTGATTTGGACGACTCGACAGGAGGAAGTCTTGCGACGCAATCATTTTTCTCATCAGGATCTGATTCTTTGAGCATCAGCTCAAGATGAAGATTAGAACTGATAGAAAGCGCTTGCATTCGACAGTCTTCAGCGAAAGGTGGGTGAAAGAGGTGAGCTTGGTTTGTTTGAACGAGGCTAGCCGTGATTTTCTCTTTTAGGTCAACTTACGTCACATTGGGGTGGTTTCCTGTGGAGCCCTCCCCTTGGTTAGGTTAGACAAGCTTTTGTGTACCTAGTTAATGTGAGTAAGTGTTGTTCTTGGCTTGTTCCCAGCTGCCTCTTTGGTTATGATTCAAGTTGAGATTCCCAACCTCTCCAGTTTATTTTGGTCCCCTTTTCATCTCGACTGGGTCAGCTTTTATATTTCCCTTGTCCGTACATTTTTTCTCCTTTCCCACTCCCTTAGCGAGAGAGCCTCTGGATTTTGTCCAAATGGGCAGAATACAGCGGCCTCTCATTTTTGAGGGTTGGACGGGCCCTACTAACATCAGTTATGTTTAGTTTGTTTTGTGTTAATGTTTTAGTTTCTTATTGGGTTCATCTCCCTTCCCTCTCATTTTATTCATCCATAAATTATTAAGTACACATATATAATCATTATATTTTTATGGTATGGGGTGCATTTTGTAGGAGCCCCTTGAGAGGATGTGGTATTATGGTGTTTGGAGGATTGATTGGTGACGGACAAGTTTTTGTGGTGAATGGGCAAATTGTAATGAGTGAATGGGTCGTGAATCAGATTAGCTAGGTATAGGATAGTTAGTGACGATCAGCCTCAACCCCTTCCCATTTCAGCCTTGTGCCATCATTGTGTAATTTTACACAATAAATATCCAGCATATATTACATTAGATGACCAGCAGCTACTACTATTCTTGGCCTTTCCACTTCTAACATCATGTCATGATTTTAAATGCAATGTTAATTTGCCCTCTTCTGTCTTCTTTAACTCTGTTCTTTTTATGTCCTTTCCCCAAACCTCCCCATTCTTCTCATTCTCTTTCACTTCCTGTGTTTCTTTGGTGGGGTGTGAAACAATTAAAAAGAAAACAAACTAAAAAGCAAGGGAGTTACTGAGAGTGAAGAAAATGAGAAAACTTTAGTGAGAAAAGAGGACAATAAAAGAACAGATTTCAGGAAGACAGAAAATTGTGATTGGCATTGCAACAAGCCAAAATAGTTCCACAGGCAAAATGTGTAAGAAAAGAAACATAGTTACATCATAGTTACATCTAGCTATTTTAACAGTAAAATGATGAGACTTAATTGCAAGTCCAGTAGAATGCTTAAACTCTTGGGGTTGAGGAACAAAGGAGGAAAGCTCATTAAAACAATTGCCATGAAAATATTTATAGAATAGACATAGATAAGCTATATCACGGTGGTAGGAAAATGACTGAAATCAAGATGCCAGGTCAGGACCGATAATATTACAGACTTATTATATTATTGGAGATTTTGTTAAGAATTTCTAAATATATAGAAGGAGCATCAGACCAAATGTGGCAGCAATATTCAATGCAGGGAACCAACTGTATTTCAAATATTTCTAAATAAGTAAATGAAATTTAAAGACAAAAATATAGACCTCTGAATTTGGGCAGAGAAGAAAATTCATTTCAATGCTTCTCAACCTGGAGTAGCCTGCATTTTATATGATTACATACACACAAAATACCTCATGATATGTGGATAATAAAGCTGATAATATATTACTTTTTATTTCATGTCAATTTTCTTTAGATATTATTCTTTTAATGATTTAAAAAGCAGAATACTTTTGTAACATGTGACTAGATTTAATTGTATAGATCAAAACTGATTACACATAGAGAATGTATGACCAATGCAATTGCAAAATTACTTAAATATGGCCATCATTTATTGATAAGTTGTATAGACTTTCTTTGAATAGTTCTACTTTTAATGATATAAAATGCAGAATACTTTCTTACATGTCACTGAGTTCACTGTATAGATAAAACCAATAATTGCATAGATCAAAATCTTAGATAACTCCTACAGAAAATATAATGAATACAAATGCCAAATCATTTAAATATGGCTGTCCTTTATTGATTATATAAGTTGCACCAGCATTCTTTGAATAGGTTTTCTTTTAATGATTTAAAAAGCAGAATTCTTTCTTACATGAAGCAATAACATTAATTGTAGAAATAAAAGTAATAATTGTGCAGATAAAAAATAGATTACACACCATATATAAACAGTGCAATTACCAAATTACTTAAATGTGGGTGTCATTTTTGGATAATATATGTTGTATTAGCTTTTTTCAAGATATTATTTCAAGGATTTTAAAAGTAGAATTTTTTTTCTTTAACATGTAATTCTAGATTTGACTGTTTTGATAAAAATCCTAGATTATTCATCCAGAATATGGCTTATGGTCATATCACTTTGAAAGACCAGTTCCCATACAATCATCAAAGTTAGGCAACATCGAGCCTAGTCAGTACTAAGAATGGTGACTGCTTGGGAATATCAGATGCTGTAAGCTTGGATGTGTGGGGAAGTGTAAAGAACAATGGATTGGAATTGTTAATCTAAGAGCTGAGTTCCAATTTTCATTGGTTTTGCTATATTCACTTACATGCAAATACCCTTGGGAAAGGCATGAATCCACTTTTTCTCTAGTAAGATTAAAAAAATTCTTACAATCTAAAAACATATTTTCTGTTTTTATATAACCTGCAAAGAGTTAATAAACCAAGAAAATGATTCAATCAAATCATAGAAACTATGACCAACACTCATTGCAAAGTCATTTTTTGGTGGAATGGGTCATGTTAGTTTTCTTTCAATATTCTTACATTTAATAAATTAAAAAGGAGAATTCTTCCTTACATATGATAACAGTTTATCTATTTTGTGCAAAATCCTTGATTACTCAAGCAAAAAATATAACTGATGTAATTGCAAAATTGCTTCAATATGGCTGTCATTTTTTGATAGTGTCAGTAAAGTAGTATAAAATAATGTTACAGTTGTTTACAAGCAACACATTGCTTTTTTTTGTTTGTTTTTCAATATTGTTTCACAGCTGAGTTTAAAATGGCATCATTTGCATTGGCAAATAAGGACTTTTTATTTTAATCACCCTGCCATTCTTGCATCTTAGGAGAAAATAGTTCTAATAAACTGCGACGTCTTACCTTTGTTTTCTCTTTTCAGTTGATCAATCTCTTCGTGTAGACAATGCAAAAATTCACAGTGCTGCTGCTTCAGAAATGCTAAGCTTCGCTCCAAATGTTGGATTCTGCGATAAGGGTCTTCCATAATTACTTCAGCTTCATTCTCAGGTTTTGCCCCACCCTCGCTTTGTGTAACTCCACTGGCTGGCTCTCCAGCTGACATCTGGCTACTCAGATATGCTTGTTTGTCCTTTTCAAATGGACGGGGATAACTGGAAGGATAAAATGAATGAAACTCTTTGTTGGGATCAACAAGTAAAAATACTGACTTCTGAGCCCTTAATAAAGGTGGCTGTCAGAAATTTTTGGTGATATGACCGAATGGTAACTATGACTCTTCTTACTGAGCTGTTTGTTGACCTTTCTTTTCAGTCATATATATATATATATATATATAAATGCATATTTAGGCAGCAACCATTCTTTTAGATATCTTTTACTAAGTATGACAGACAAGGAAAATTTAATTAATTCTTTATTTAATTTTGCCAATGTTCCTACATTTTTTGTTTGTTGGGAGTCAGGGAGTGCAAAAACTTTCCAAATTGTCCCAAGCACTTGCATCCACTTCTTTAGCCATTTTCAGTTGGGTTTATTTAAGGCGTTGTTAATTTCTCTTCATGTTTTGACTCTTTAAGATGGATTTTACATTTATGTTGTTTTGAATACCAGTAGGAACATTCATTGAGCCTTCAGACACACACACACACTATATATATATATATATATATATATATATATATATATATATATATATATATATATATGTGTGTGTGTGTGTGTGTGTTTTTTTTATTTATTTACTCAGCAGATTTTCATTCAAACAGGTTTGGTTAAATAATGATAATACTATGTCTGTTTATTTTTGTTTTTAATCCCCCTTTCAAATCCACAAATCAATTTCTTGGTAGCCATAGAAAACTGATTAAGAATAATATCAAAATTTTTTTCAAATAATTTTTATTTTCCCAAGTACTTTCAGTCTCATCTGAAACCATCTTCAGGGGGTTAACTTGTCTGTGTGTATACATATTTCTGTAAATTCAAAAAAATTTTACTGTCCATTTTACTGCATTTTTTATCATTTCATATCAATTTCAAATTCACAAGGTTTTTTTTCTCCATGCAAAAGGAGGAAACTTTTGTATATCCCTATTTATTTATTATTATATATATATATATATATATATATATATAAACTTTGCTGCTACAAACATGTAAGAACTTTATTGCTATACTCATAGCTGACTTTATTTTTTTTACTTTAATTCTCTTATATAAAGGGCTTCTAGGATTTTAAGATTTTGCTTATTATTTTGGTGTAACATAAATGTATTTTCTACTAATTTCTGCCTAAACTGTGAATGTGGACATGAGTGTTCCTTTAAATGCTGCAAGATTGAACTATGCTCATGTAAATGTAAGCCTTCTCGACAGCATCGTCGTTGTAAAACCAACATATGTATTAACATTTATTTCAGAGATGCAATCTCCGAAATGACATCTAAATTGATGCTAGTTGATGGAGAAGAATTTTTTTTTGACAACTAGATTGGTTAAATTAAGTATAGCATACAACCAACTTCACTTTTTTACTTTTTTTTTATCAGTAGGGGATACATTAGTGTTTATGAGTCTTTTTAGAATTTTTTCCTCCTGCTTATAGTTAGAATGCATTTGATTACAGTGATAGTAATTTGATATGTTTAGAGTTATTTGATGATGTATTGTATTCATTTATGTTCATATTCCTAATAGGTTGTCTAATTTGTTCATCAATGACATAATCAGAAAAGTCATTATTAATGAAGGTTTGTTTAATATTTTTTAATTCAGTCTAAAAAATTCTTTTTATTGAAAAATTTGATTTTGCATGGTTTATTAAGTTTCATATAATAGCTATTTTGGAATAATTAGGACATTCACTTTTATAGTTAAGAGTGAATGTGTTTTTGTTTGTTGTTTTTTATATGGGAAGGTAGTAAATGTATTATTATTACTGTCTACCAATAAATAAAGAAATGGGACATTTTTGTCCTTGTTAAGTTCATACATGAACTTAAGTACAGAGTTTTTTTGTAATTCATGTATTTCATTTATATCTTTGACTAAAATTAGAATGACATCTACATACCTCAGGTAAACGGAGTGTTTTTTGTGGTATTAAGTAAGCTATTTTCTAAGTTAGTCATGTAGAAATTGCTAAATGTTAATCCAAGAACAGAACCCATACAGAAACCATTGCATTGTACGTATATGTTATTTTGATGGTCATAATAAGGAACTGCTGTAGTGTGTATCAAGAATACTTTTTTAAAATATTAGGACAAATTTTTAATGGAGGAAGAGATAGATTGTTGTAGATATTGTTTATGATTATATCTATTGAAATTGATTTGTGGACTTGAAAGGATTAAAACAAAAATAAACAGACATAGTATGTCTAAATTATTTAACCAAAGCTGTTTGAATATATACACTCCTGGTCAAAATCTTAAGATCAGATACAAAACGGTTAAAAAAATATAAAATACTGTTACTTTAATCAAAATATATTTGCAACACTTTTACATTTAATTAGAAAATGTAGTTAATCATTATGAAAATTTTAAGCTTTTAACTGATTAAGTTAAACAAACATTGAACAAGTATTTATTGTTTAGTCATAAAGATAAGACCATGTACATAAAGACAGAAAATACAGAGCAAATAAGTCACAATGACAACTTAATATTCAGTATATCCTCTATTATTACAAATTACTTCTAAAATTCATTTTGGCATACTCATTAATTTCTGCATGAGGGAGCATGAGGATGCATAAACTGCCGCACAAAGAGCATTCACAGTTTCAAACTACAATCTATGTTTATAAACATCCTTTGCCATCCATGCCCAAACATTCACGATTGAGTTTAGATCTGGAGAGCATGGTGTATGGCTCAAAAGCTGAATGTTGTTTTCCATAAAAAACTCCTTCGAAATTCAAGCATTGTGGATTGCAGCATTGTCCTGCTGGAAAATACAGTTTTCTTCACATAGATTAAGGCCTTCTGTAATTAGTGATGCCATTCTTAACATGTCAATGTAACTAAAAGCTGTTTGACAACTTTTTACCTCCTGTAACTCAAGAGTTCCATTGTACGAAAATGAACCCCCGGACCATAATTGATCCACCGCCATTGTTGGTTTGAGAAAATTTCTTTTGGGACATCTTTTGCATGCCATTAATACTGAAAACTGTCTGGGCCATCAAGGTTGATTTTTTCTCATCTGAAAACAACACTTTCTTCCATTTATCCACATCCAAAGTTTGATAATTGGAAACAAATTGTAAAAAGGAGGTTTTATGGCGAGGAGGAGGTAAGGCCTCTGCAGCTGTTCCATGTTCTTAAACACTTACTTATTTAAATGCTGTCAAATTGTTAAAGAGCTGCATTCAGCATCTGTATTCACTTTTATCTGATTTGATGTTAGGCTTGAATCTCTCTTAACTTCTCGCCTAATGCGTCTATCTAGAGAGAGTGAGATTTTATTGGGGCAAGCACTTGATTTTTTAGAAGCATATGCATGTAGATTTTTAATGAAGTTAGCAATGACAGTTCTGCTATGGCCAATTTCATTTGTATTGACTCATTGCAAAAGACCATGTCTTTAAAGTTCAATAATCCTGCCTTGTTTGAACTTTAAAATTTTACCCTTAGTCATTTTAAAATCTGAAATTTAATACTGGAAATGAGCTAAGTAGATGTCTATACACTTAAAGCTATGAGCACACTGATTAGTTCTAAAATTTTTGTCCAGTAATTTTTTTTTTTCACACATGGTCATATCTTTATGACCAACCAAAAAAATAATTTTTCAATGTTTGTTTAAATTAATTAATTAAAAGCTTCAAATGTTCACATGTTTGTTGATAAACTATATTTTCGAATTAATTGTAAATATTTTGCAAATATATTTTGATTAAAGTAACAGTATTTTATATAATTTTTTAATCCTTTTGTATCTGGTTTTAAGATTTTGACCAGGAGTGTGCGCGTATATACAGAGAGAAAGAGAGAGAAAGAATAAGAATCTGACAAAGAATAATTAGGAAAACAGACCTTAATCTAACATGTTTCACTTTATTGAAGCTTTAATGAAGTGAAACATATTAGATTAAGACCTATTTTCCTACTTGTTCTTTTATTGTATCACTAGCAGTCTTCACCTGCTCACTATTGCTTTGCAAAGTAAGATATATTCACTACTTGAAATCTTTGAAACAAAAATTTTAAATGAACATTTCATTCATATATTGGCTTGTTATGGTTAAGGTACGTTTTACAAATAGATGTCAATTTGTTGAAGCCAAGTAAAATGCAAATTTTAAATACTTTTCTGCACTATACAAGACAATATTCCTAAACTGAACAATATTTGATATGAAAATCAAAACAATCCTTGAATAAAAGAACAGTAATGAAGGACAGTTAATTAATAAAATAAACTTTTTTAAAATCAATATGCAAATTAGTTAAACCTGGAGAGTGATATTGCCTAGAAGTAGGTAAGATATAATACAAATACTGATCTTTTAGTAAATTACTTTGTATGTATTATTTATCATCTCTCAGTTGCGTCTCTGTCCTTGGACAGAGTGTGCTCAGGGGCTTCTCTGTCTGAGGACAGAGGGGCAACTGAGGAAAATTATATTGAAAAGGTGCCCAGCTGCCTGAGGCCACGCCCTTCCATTGCACAAGAGGGAGGGATTGGTGCTCACACCGAGGCCAGCGCAACCGACAGTTGCAGGGGCTGTGGGGAATTTTTGTCCCTGCCCGGGTCCCCACAATAAAAAGACTTTGTGTTACATCTCATTCTCATGGGGGAATGAGTAAACACCATAAATTGCTATAAAGTAGAGCTGGGGCTTTTTAATCTCAGAATTCATGGGAGAATTGAGCTCAAATTTCATATTTACTCATATAGATTCCATAATATAGGTTTTACTTAATTACCTATTATGTTTCTCTAACTCTTCAAATGCCGAATGTATAACTAATCTTAATTTCTATTTTCCCATCTTTACACTGTATTAATTTTTTATTTTTAGCCCTTGATCACTAGAAATAGGGACCAATTCTTTTTCTTCATATAACTGAAGTCCAATATTAGAAGAAA